TGATCCTGGCTGTGGTAGTCAGAATAATGGTCCCCCAAAGATGTCCACATCCTTATCCCTGGAATCTGTGAATATGTTACTTTACATGACATCAGGATTTTGTAGGCGTGATTAATTAAGGACTTTGAGATGGGGAAACTATCATGAATTACATTGGTGGGATCAATATAATCATGAGGTAAGTAAAGGATGGAAGAGGGTGGTAGAAGAGTCAGAGAGGAGATGTGACAACAGCAGTAGAGGTCAGAGGGATGTGTGGTCACAGGCCAATGCAAGCAGGCAGCCTCTAGAAGCTAGGAAAGGCAAGAAAAGATTCTCCTCTACAGCCTCCAGAAGGCATGCAGCCCTATTGACTCATTTTAGACTTCTGACTTCCAGAAATGTAAGATGATACATTCATGCTCTTTTAAGTTACCAAGTTTGTGCCAACTTGTTCCAGCAGCAATATAAGACATTCATTGGATGAGCCTCTTCATAGACATTCTTCCAGAGGAGTATCACGTTTTGGCCATTCATCTTCTTAGCACACATTTGTCATTCGTGTTCTCATTTGCCTTGTGATGAGCACTTGCTACATTCTACTCACTCTTCCAGGAGCTAGACAGACAAATATCTGGATCCTGTCTTTAGGAGCTTACGATCAAATGGAAATAGATATAGTGGGAATAAGGATGGAAGTGTGCCCAATCTACATGGGACTCAAGGGTGAGGAAGGTCAATTCTACTTAGGAAAATGATGGGAAGATCCTTTCTTATATGAAAATTTGAAAGGTGCTTTGTTAGTTGTCAAATGGAGAAAAGATGAGAAGAAAGATCATTCCAGGCAGGGGAGTTTGATGAGTAAAACTCCAGATGCTGAAACAGCTGAGTGTGTTCTGGAGGGAATGTAGGGTATAAGTATCTATGCTGATAGAAACAAAACTGGAAGCCTAAGTTTAGAATATAGGGTCTGAACTCTATCTTGTGAATGACAGAGAATACTAATAAGAGCAGCATCAATTTCAGATCTATGTTTTAAGAAATTGGTTAGGTAGAAAGCCAGAGTCAGAGAGAGCAGTTAAAAAGTTAAAAGGATACTGCAATGGTCCAAGCCAAAGGTAATGCAGGCCAATCTAAATTAGCAGCATAAACAACGGAGAGAAAGATATTGAATCAAGATGCATTATGGAGGTAGAATCAAGTGAATGATGATAGATTGGGTATAGTGGGAAGAGAAAGGGAAGAGTTTAGGATAAAACTGAGTTTGAGAATTGGGTAGCTAGTGTGCTACTTTCTAAAAGAGGACATGCATCAGCTTGGTGAAAACAGATAATGACAATCTTTAAATGCAAGTCTCCAACTTATATATTCTTTGGGCTTCTAGTTCGTGAAATAATAAATATGCTGTATAGAGAGAAGGGACCATATTTTCTATCTTTAGGATTTCCCTTGCCTACCATAATGCTGGGCACATGATAAATTCTTGTTGAATTGAAAAGAATATTGTGCTCAGCAAGAAAGATATGTGTTTTGATTCCAATTCTGACGTGGAGCTTTGGATTTAAAAGTACCCCGAAGGTCAATCAACATACTTCTAGGCAAAGGCATATCTCTTAGAAATGGATTAAAGAACTATCGATGTTAGAATTTTTCTTCTGGCATGATGCATTATCTTCAATATTAAGAAAAAGAAACAATTCCCCTTGTACTCTCTTTCTTTAATTTTAGGCATAACTACTGAACAGGGTAGAATTTCAATATCTTTATTGAGAATCTAAGAAATAGAACACGTATTTTTGAGTACCTACTGTGTTCACGAAGCTCCCCTGATATAGAGAAAGTGGTATTTTTTTATTCTATTAAAAACCGATTCAAATTTCTGCAAGGCTGATCAAATCCTCTGCTGTACAATTAATGACTAAAAGTTAAAAATGCTGAATTAGGGCCACCATAGATAATTCAGTCACAGTGGTAGACATGACAGAGTGAAAGAAATTTTAATTCTCCCAGAGTTGAACCTACTCAAACAAAATGGATTTTTCTTTTGATTTGAATCAGACATTATCCCAATTCACCAGTTAATATACTTTAGTTTGGCTCTGTAGTCAACTATGGAGGAAAAAACATGCTAAGTTTTTCCCATTCTAATATCAGATGGGAGTAAGACCTTCAGCAAACAGGCTTCTGTAACTGAATACCAAGAAAAATATGCTAGAAAGACCTCAACACCACAGCAACACACTGAGGGACCAAAGCAGGTTTGAATCTTAATTATATGGTAATGTACAGAACAAACCTGGTGTCATGGCATTTTGGGGAGAATAGCTGGTGAGAATTTTCTAGATGCTTTCATTGTGCTTCCTTCACATAAAGCAATAGCAAACAAAAGGTATGGTTGTAGGAGTTCATTATTAACCCATGGTAACTGGCAAAGAAAATGGTGGTATTTTCTGGCAAAGAATGTAACAGTAAATATCATTTCAGAGGTTTAATCTTGCAACCAGAGTCGGTAGTTGTTTCACTACTCCTGAGCATGAAGGACTCAGAGAGTAAATGATTTATTGTTCGGTCAACAGAGCACAAATTTCAATATTTTGAAAAAAACCTGAGAACTATTCATTCTGGCATGTGTTACTCTTAAACCCAAGGAAATGAAGAAATATTGATCTAATTTCTGTCTTTCAAGAATGAAATTATATATTAACCACACAGCACCCAGCAACATATAAAACCAGCACCCGCAGAGATAGTTAGCCTGACATCAGAATTGTGTTTTTCTAGCTAAATACTAATCCCCTCTATGGCATTATACAATTTATTATAAATAGGCTGCTTGATCCAGCAGCCAAGAAATCAAATCAGAATTCTCAGGAAGAACATGGTAAAATAAAGGGGCAGGTAGAGGTAAAGGGGTCAGATGCAAAAAGGCAGACGCCTATAGCAGTGCCTAAGAGCTACCTGGTATTCTTGTCAAATGCGTATTCTGATTCAGTAGATCTGAGGTGGGGCTGAAGACTGCATTTCTAACAAGCTCATCAGAGATGCTGCTTATCCCAGGAACCCACTCTGAGTACAAAGGGTGGCACTTTTCTCAAACCACCACAATAACACCTACACTGCATACGTGCCCCCAATTTCTCCTTCATGTTCTCTTTTATGGGATTTCTTGAACATCATCTCATTTGTTTTGTTTCTTGTTTTAGCTCATTATGTTTGCAATATTACTTATGGACCTGTTTTTCAGACAAAGAATGAACTCACTGTCCTGAAAGCATCCCTTCCTTTACCACCGCTTCCCAGTTAGACTACGAAGCAAGCATTGCATCTTTGTGCCACTGCCTCTTTTAAAAGACACCTGAATGATAACCTTGAGTGGGATTTCCTACCTGCCCTCAAAAAAAGAGGAAAAGAAGAGTAAATGACAAAATTCTGCAAAACTCAAGCTAGTGAAAGGGAAAAAATAAACAAGACTGTCAGTCTCCAAGGAAGAGAGTACTGTGATTATTAAAAATAATTTTGAAACTTTAGAAACACATCCAGCATGTTTCAGTTTTCTCATGTGAAAGACCGGATGGGACCAGAGGTCTACTGTGGGTGGGGGATTCAAGTCTGTCTCTACTGCTGTCTAAATATTTCTCCAGCTGAGGAAGAAATATTTCCTGTAGACCTTAGCCATGAAAGCCAGACTCTTGTGCCACCTAGGAAGACGGGAAAATTAAGAAGTCACGTAAGGGTAAGGAAGAGAAGAGGCTTCACCACCTGTTTCCTCCTTTAAGAGGTACTCCTCCTCTCAGAAGTAAAACATCCCAAGCCAGCACTTTACTTTCCCTTTACACCATTTCTGCCAGAAAAAGAAAAAAACAAAAAACTAGAAGTTCAAAACCATAAAGGAATTAAATAAATATCACACTTCACAGAAGGTGAGAGTAGTGTAACACAATGGCATTAAGCTTATCCAGATCTGCAGTGCTGTTCTAAACATTTGACTTTGTTCAGAAAAATCTCATTTACTCTTGGATAAATGCTGCCGTGGCTTACATGACTAGTCACATTTACAACATAGAGTATAATATGCCTCCCAAAGGGGGGCAGTCTCCATTCACTTTGACAAAGGGCAGCACAGGCAGAAGTGGTTTTGCCACTGTCTGCTCCACGGTCAGGATCTGTAAAATGGGGGGAATCCAAACAGCGAAAGCATCCATGGTTCTCATGAAGGAATAGAGCTGACGCAGTTTGTGAACAACAAGTATTCTTACCATCATTATTATTATTACCACCTATCCACACACTTTTAGACATATCAAGAGATATAAAACTTGTTCAGATAGGATAAATCTTTCCTTTTCTGTATTCAAATCAACCAGCTAAAAATACTTATTAAACATAGATGACTGATACTGAATCAGATACTCCAAGAGAAGCATAAGATAGAACGACCATCTTCGTGTGGCCAACAATCTTTTTAGACAGAATAAACTAATATATATGAAGTGATTTATAAAGTCATTTCAGAATAGCCCTAGACGGTATATAATTAAATATTAAATTACGCACAGTCAGGCACAAGTACTAAAATAAATCGGAGAAGGGACAGATCAGTACACACTAAAATGGAAAGACAGTAAAATTTTGCGCAAAGGGCATACTATCAGGAATCAGAATACCTAGTAGTTCAATGTAATGTGGGGCCTGTGCTTGGTTTTGTCACCTGTGAAATGGGAATGACAGTAATACATACCTCTTAGGGTTATTTCAAGAGTTAGAGGAAATGTGAAAATGAAAAAAAAATCTGACTTTATAAAACAAGACACATTTTCTGTTTTATCATAATTGATGATTAGCCCATCTTTTATGAAATGAAGAGGATTTATGCCGTCCTTGAAAAAAGTATGAGCTAGAGAAGAGGGAGGACAGTTATCTAGGAAAAGAGGAAGAGAGAAAGAAAAAGTAGAGGGAGAAATAAGCAACAGGCATAAAAAAGACAAAGACCTGGGAAGGAGGGCAATAAAAACCACAGGCAGGTGCTCACTTCAGCAGCACATATATACTAAAATTGGAATAATACAGAGAAGATTAGCATGGCCCCTGCCCAAGGATGATACACAAATTCACGAAGCGTTCCATATCTTTTAAATTGGGAGATTGGGATTGACATATACACACTATTGTATATAAAACAGATAACTAATAAGGACCTACTGTATGGCACAAGGAACTCTACTCAATACTCTGTAATGACCTATGTGGGAAAAGAATCTCAACAAGAGTGGATATATGTATATATATAACTGATTCACTTTGCTGTACAGCAGAAACTAACACAACACTGTCAATCAACTATACTCCAATAAAAATTCATTTTAAAAACCTACAGGTAGTTGACTTCATTTTTAGAGAAAAGTAAATAAATAGGGTTCATTGAAGTGGAAGAATGCCAGGAATGGGCAGGAGTCAACAGCAGGCTCCTCCCACCCCTCTGCTGATTTCCTTCTTCCAGACTGTCAGGCTCTTTCATCATACATCCCTGGTTCTCAGTCTTCTACAAGCTGACAAAACAAAATAAGGCAGGAGAAAAGAAAACGGAAAAAAAAAAAAAAGATTGCCCAACTCTCAGTACTTTGATACAAGGGACAACAGAGGAGGGGCACAGGGGAAGAAGAGATTAGGAAGCATATTAAATTCTCCCCTTGTCTCAGGGATGGTATTTCTGCCCATTACTAGACCTGCTCCCAAGCCAGAAAATTTACTTTACCCCATGGCCACCAGCGAGGTGGGCTGGATAATAAGAATATTAGGAGATGGCAATTCTGTAGATGTAAAAGGTACACATTCAAAAGAAGGAAGGAGAGAAAAGAGCAATGGAGTATAAAATAAAGGATTAGCAAGATCCAGAGAAAGATAAAAGAAAGCGCAAGAGAAAAATGGTTCATTTGTAGAACTAATACATTAGGTAAAATTCTAAAACATTGTCCCAGGTTTCAAACGCTTCAAGGGGATTTTAAAAGAGGACAAGCCTACCAGGGATCTGAGTAGATTATACAATATGCAAAGCTGACTTGAAGAGGAAGAATAAGAAGATTTACCACGTGTTCAGCTCCTACTATGTACCGGGAATTCCACTGGGGCTTTACATTTCTTAAATCCATGAATGTTTGTTGTCATCTATAGGATGTGGGCTGCTCAGAAAGCTTGACTTCCCTGAAGTTACCTTCCCATCCTCCAGAACAATCCTCACTTCCGCTACAGCTTGAAATTGCAATTGAAAATTAGTCTTTGATTTCTTCTGTTACAATACAGGCATGTAAAGTATAAGGCCACAACTTTCAAAAATAATTTAGCCCGGGTTAGCCATCTCAGGTAACTGAAAGGAGGTAAGATTAGGGATGAAGAGAAGAGGGCAGAGAAAGAAGATTCTAGGAAAGAGACAGCATTCTCATAATTCAGGATCCAGGCTTCTGAAAGAGGAGATCTATAACTGCAGGCACCTGTTTCCTGTTTCCTATTCCATCGGCTTACCTGGAGCAGGTGCCAATGACAGGTGTGTATGGGAGGATTTTAGAATTAATTTTATACACACACACACACACACACACACATATATACGCGCACACACACACATATGTATCTGAGGAGAGAGGTGAACTCTACTTTTGTGAGAATTCAGAATATTTCTAGTATTCTGAAAGAGTGAGGCAGCCATATATCTCAAAATAAAACTAATTTAAACACACACATCCCCTGAGAACCTGGCTTTGTTGAGCTACAAGGCTGTTACAGTTAATGGAGTCAATTCTCATCTCATTTCACAGGTGAGGAACCTGAGGCCCAGCAAGATCACATGACTTGCCCAAGCCATGCCATGCAGCCAGTTAGCAGCAGGCCTGAAATTGATGTCTGATGACATTCACCTAGTATCTTCTACATTACCCCACGATGGTATCTTAGGGAGGTGTCACCACATCAAATAACTCTACGTAATACTAAAGTATACCTCGGATTGAAATGAAACAAAGTTCAGGCAAACACAGACCTGTATCACAGCTGCTAATGGGGTATGAGGAACCTCACTTATGATGCAGTGGAAAAATGGGGGCAAAAGATGCCTAATCTAAAATTATACTTAAACTCTGTGTGTTTTATACCAATTATATATTATGCTTATTAGCTGGTTGCATGTTGTGAGAATTAAATGAAACAACATATAGAAGAGGCCCAGCAAAGTGTTGATTCTCTTTTCTTTCCCCAATTATCAACAAATGATTCTTTTGGGGGAAAAAAAAAAATAAGTGATTCACTTGTTAGTTTTCCCGAATGCCTTCAAGATCTCCTCCCCTCAGCCTAATTCTGCTTAAACTCTTTTCTTTTTTTCAGAGATGAAGATCAAAAGAAGATATAAGAATTTTTTTCTTGATTAATCACCTACCCCCAACCTCACTTCTAGTGTGTAGGAAATTAGAGGCAGGAGAAGTTTACTTTGCCTTGTAACTGTTATGTGAAGAGGCAATGACAGAGCAAATATCTGTGATATTTTCCCAGGAGCCACAGAAAAATTCTGAAATACAAGTAATGTTGGGCCTGCTTCTGTCTTTTATAAGGACGAGACTGCATATGTTGTCATGAGGAAGTGTGTAGTTGGGGTGCTTGTGCACTTACCCTTTTGTTTAATATCACCTATCTTATTCAGGCTGGGCACGTAGGAAAAAAATATTTTGGATTGTGGCTGGTTATGTGCAAAGTCCCATCCTTGGCAATTTATATGCTTTTCTGTTTTCTATACTGAAACTTGGGAGCAAAGGTTTTCCTGATCTTAGGGCTTGGTTTTGTAAAAGAATAGGGGAGAGAATGTAAAATGAAAATTATTGAGCATGCCCTCTATGCCAAGAACCACTGCAGATATGTATTTAATCCTTACACCCATCTTGCCCTCTGGAAAGTAAGGAAGAACATTTTTTTTTTTTCTGACTCTCTACTAGCATTAAGAAGAATGTCTGGCACATAGTAGGGTTTAATATGTATTTGTTCAATGAATAATAAATTAACAGTCCACCAAGCTGAGTAGCATTATCTTCATCATGCTGATAAAGTGGCTGAGATGCAGAAAGATTAAATTTCCTGGTCATGGTCTTAAGCACTAGGCAGATCCAGAATATAAATCAGAGCTGTCTGTCTTTCATTACCAGGGCTCCTTTCTCTCCACTATGTTGCCTTGGTAAAAAGAGCAATGGATTAAACACAGTTCATAAAGTCTCACGGCCTAACAGGTACAGAGGTGAAACATTTTATAAAAATGAAAACTACATTAATTTAATTCACCCTAGTCCATGATGTGACCATCTTCCCTGCCCACCGGCCAACTTAAGTCTTACTGAAACAGGTACATCATGTAGCCTGCAGATATAAGAGATCAATGCCCACTGCATGTACTGAGAGAATTTCTAATGATCAAGGGCAGCACTATCTCTTGGTCAAAGATCCTGTGTTCCAGATACTGCAAAAGATGAGTAGTATGACTATGGGCTGGTCATTCAGCATTTCTAATTCTCAGTTTCTTCATCTGTAAATGTTGGGGTGTGGGAGAAGGTACATAATGTTAGTAGGCATCATTCCAGCTTTAATATGCCATGATTCCTTCCTTCTCAACCACAACCAGACAGCTCACAACTGAAGAGTTGAGAAAATAAGACTTTTGCCTTGTTTTCTCTCTCCTCAAGGAATCCCACTCCATTTTTATAATTGTCACATATCTGTCTGTAGGACATTATCACATTCTTTATTATTAGAGGGGGGAAAAGAAAAATAGAAAATGGGGATCGGGGGAAAGAAAAGTAGAATATGTTTATCCTTGCCAAAACACATGAACACTTAAAATTGCTATCAGTGATGGTCACCTATCCAGTATATATATATCTTTCTACATCTTTACCCCTTCTTTATTGTATTTTTTAAATTTATTTTTTATTGAAGTATAGTTGATTTACAACATTGTGTTAGTTTCAGGTGTAGAGCAAAGTGATGCAGATATATACATATATATATATATATATATATATATATATATGAATATATACATTCTTTTTCAGATTTTTTTCCCTTATAGGTTATTATTAAATATTGAGTATAGTTTTCCACGTTATACATTAGGTCCTTGTTGGTTATTTATTTTATATACAGTAGTGTGTATATGTTAATCCCAAACTCCTACTTTATCCCTCCCACCCTTCCCCTTTAGTAACCATAAGTTTGGGTCCATTTCTCTTTTGTATATAAGTTCATTTGTATCATCTTTCTTTTAGATTCCACCTATAAGAGATATCCTATTTTCATTCTTAAAATTATTATTTTGATCAGGGAGATTTTATAGTTTTACTCCTTGTTTATCATTTCCACTTTATGGTCCAAAAATGTAAGTTTGCTACAGATCCAAGTTTGTTATGGATAAAAACATGACAAATTTGAACAGTGATTACTGCCACTGAACAGGTTTAGTCAGGAATCAGAACATAACATCGATTTTCTATGACTTAGAATTATGGGTTTTGACTATGGTCTATCGTGGAGAGGCAGAAAATGCCAGGGAGTGAAGTGGGCAGGAAAGAGTAGAACAACGTAGTGATGAATAACAACTAGCATGGCCTCCATGTTGAGGGGAGTAACAGGGACTAGTAGAGACTGTGGCTGAATGAAGACCACAGGTCCTGACTAAAGGAGACAGCCCCTACTGAGTTGAGTCAAATTTTGCCATGTAGAATTGTTGGTGTAGTGTATCTAAATCTTACAATGTTCATTTAAAAAGCCAGAAATCTGAATTTTTATATGAAATGTGCCCATTTTCAATACTGGTTCAATTTCTAAAAATAAACAAAAACTATGGGCCAAATAAAATATATTTGTGGGCTAAGTTTGGCTAGGGGATTACTAGTTTGAGAACTCTCATTTAGAAAGATCAGTCTCTGAGAATTAGTGTTTCCTTCTTGCACAAGCAGAGTGTGTAGCTGTGTGTATATATCTGTGTGTATCTGACTTAGCAACTAACTGCTAGACACTAAAAAAAAAAAAGGAACATATTGATGAAATAACCTGTGACCTCATGGGAAACACAGATGGAGTTTCCATGACACCCTATATTGTTC